GGCACCACACCAAGACATAGTATGATCTGTCCAGAAAGACTAATGCCAGATCCCTGACTAATGGGGGATACTTCATGCATGTTTCTGATTATTTGAATAGAGAACAAGAGATCTGATGGTCTTATTCTTTTTGGACCTTGAAAAAGGAGACTGTTCATGGGGATTTGGGCAAGAGAGCTATAAGTAATATAAGAGTTTTCTGTGGAAGAGGATTGACTTGCTTTCTTTCTTTAGCAACAGTGTTGCTAAATGCTGTCAACTCAGTTCTGACTAGTAGTGACCCTGTATATATATAGTTTCCATGGAGTCACTGGTGGGTTTGAACCACCCACCTTGTAGTCAGCAGTCCAATGCTTATCCTGCAGTGCTACACTCTTTAGCATTAAAGGATCAATCAAGGTATAGGAAGACATGTTTCTGGTCAGTATAATGAAAAGTTTTTGTTTTTTTCTAAGAACTGCATACTTTAATTATCGTCTCTAAAGAAGTTGTAAAAGTAGTATGAAAAAACTTTTCAACAGGTAGACTTGTCCAAAGATGGGAGTGGCTTTCATTGGATGATATAGGGAGAGCCCTACCATTTGATGTTTTCAAGGACTGAGTTAACCATACCTTTTTTTGGCACGTAAAGCCCTTAATTTTCTGTGAATATTCTGTGCCATTTCCCTTGAAGTCATTGCTGAACCCTATGGTTGCAAACTTGGATGCTTACAACAGTCAGGTACAAGTGAGCTGACAGATACGGTGTCTTTTGCTCTTCTGCTTATATATGCATAGATTGAAGCATTATTTAATTTTTCTGTCAGTTCTGCTATAAGCAAAATGAACAGCTGTGTAAGCACAGTGTAAGTCAGCTGATACTTACCTTCAGTGTTGTTGGAGTCACTGGGGAATGATGAGGACTGTGTCACACTAGAGAGCACTTGCTCATTTAAAGGGGGAGACGTGCTCATCTCAAGCTCTCTGTTACCAGCAGGAATAGGGCTCCAAAGCTAGACCTGTCTATCTCCTTTACTTCTTCCCTCCCCCTCTCCTTCCCTTTCTTCCTTTAAAATAATCAACACCAAATATAAAAAAATAATAATGACATTGTGCAAGTCCAAATAAAATGCCAATTTGTGATCTGTGTATTCACATAAATTTATCAAATAAACCCATGATGTTACTTGAGCCAAAGAATGTTATTCCTTGTGTTAACAGTTCTATGAAATTCTTTTTTGTTAACTTTTTATTGTGAATTAAGAGAAGGTTTACATAGCAGATCATCAATTTTACATTCAATAAATCATATATTTCAATACATGGTTGCAATCCCCTCCATGTACCAACAATTAACAGCATTTACCCTCTGGTAGCATAGTGGTTACTAATGGGGCTGCGAACCGCAAGGTCAGCAGTTTGAAATGACCAGCTGTTCCACGGCTGAAAGATG